ACCCATACTCATTTTAAGGAGGGCATGAAGTGTTAAACGCGCTGAGTTATGTAGCAGACTGTGAGTCATTTGGAGCCATTGACTTGCTGCTTTCCTGTGAAGAGGGAGAGAATAATTGTGGGTATCAGTGAAGACTGAAATCGGGGGACGTCTAAATGTCAGGGGCGTGAGGAGAGAGAGAGAGAGAGATGTTTGCATAAGAGGGCCAGGGGCACTTGTCTATCTCCCATATGGCCCTCATTATAATGAAGAAGCCTTGTGAGTCAACACCATAGCATCCTTGAGTCAGCCAGTCACAGGAGACAATCCATAGCCTATTTTGGACCGTATGTTTCAGATCTCTCAGTACTTGAGATATTAGACATTATCAGTATTTCATGAGTTACTTAATCTGAGATGCCAGCTCAGATGGTCTGTGCACTGCTGAGCTGTAATAGCTCTCTATTTGAGAAGCTCAGTGTAAAATGTTTTAAAAGTAATTGAATGATTACTGACAAGTGGTGGGCAGCTTTCGAGCAACTTTTGAAACTTCACCAATAAATGATAGATTTTCTCTCAGTGCTTTCAGATGACAGCCCGATGTCATCTTGACATTTCCAATCTGTGTGGTATTTCCTAACAACGTGGGCCAATCTTCATTTAATAGCCCTCGCACCTAATTAGGCCAGCTCTAATGTTCCACTCGGCAGAGTGTCAAATCCAATGTCCAATTACACAGCAGATCAAGGCCAAAGGTCCGCCTTCACTACCTCTCAGGCTGATTATAGAAGAAGTGCCATGATATACATTACATTGAAACAGGTCTGTCAGAAGAAGAAAGAAATGCACATACATGAGCACACACGCTTCCACACACACGCATAAGGGGATCAATACCGCAGGCAAAGAGGGACTGAGGGTAGCTCACTAAAACCCCGCCTGTCTATTTCAGACAGAGTCTCTCTGTTACACCAGGCGAACGCACAGAGGCCTCTCAGTGCTGAAGTCAGACCACGATGAAGAATAGCAGGTCTGAACATTACCAGAATGTTAAAATCAATCAAGTCGAAGTATTGCTGTATTTGTGTGCAGATAATCCACGAGAATGCAACGATTACTCCCTTTTTTATACTTTAAGAATGAAAATGACTGAAAATCTGCCTTCTTTTCTGAAATCTTATTTGGTTTAATTAAAACTTAACTTGTTTGTTGCACCTTTTTTTCTTCTTCTAAAACATATGTCAATAATCGAATCAAGCAGAGCAGACCTTCTCCAGATGGCTCAGCTTCCCTTGTTTAATGTTGGGATTGACACCAGATGCTAAACACAATGCGTGGGTTTCACCTGGATACACAGCAACAAGATAAACAGCCTTGTGCTCATGTGTATCAGAGCTGAAGTCCCACCTGGAGGTGTCTTTATGAGAAGAGATGGGCTGAGGCAAATGGTTTGACTGAGAAATGACATGTGACTGAGATGGGTTTTGGTAAAAAAATAAAAATAAAAATACAAAGATTTTTCCTATGGATGAGTTGAAGGATGGTTCACTTTAACTTATTCTGTTGTAGTGCAATGCATCACTTGAAAGAACCGAAGAATATTGATGGCATTGTGTTTTAGGAAATCGATCCTGTGATACAGCAACCTGGATTGTCTTTTTTAAAAAAGTTTTTCTTTTTCAGAAGATGAAAACTTTCTGCTCCTTTAAAAAAGTGAGCTTCTGTAGACCAGATGCAGAGGAGAGATGGAGGGCAGTGCACAGTTGGGGTGGGTTGAGGCTGTGGGTTAGAAAGGAGGGGCAATCATGCACGCGTGTGTGTGTGAGCATGTGCGAATGTGTGTGTATGTAAGGAGGAGACTGCTGCGGTAATTGCTAGGGAAGAGCCATGTGCACGAAGGACGTTGAAGCTTATTAAAGGAGGAGACAGAGTGATTATTCACTATGGTCCTCTTGAGAGACTGACGCTGAAGTCATTGCTTTTAATTAACTCTGAAACGGTTTTGCGGATTAATAACAATATTAAGAAGGGAACGGAGAGGAAAAGCGCAAACACATCCTGGATCTGGTTCAAGCTTTTTAATTACAATTAAATAGACTCGATGGCACAATAGCACAATAACTATCTCTTTTCTGTCCTCTTTCTTTCTTCTCCTTTTACTGCGTCTATTAAATTTATCTTCTTATAGCTGCTGCCATGTCTCTCAGGATGTGTCCAAGACAGGTTGTAGCAAAGCATTGATTTATTGGAAAGAGTTTAGGATCGGTTGGGATATTTGGCACAAAAATAAAAAGAACATGCAAAGAAGAAGCCAAAAAAAAAGTATGAGAAGAGGAAGCTGGAAAGTGAATAAAGTGTGCTGTGCTGAAAATAGATTTTCCTTTTGTTTGTTTACTAAAAACTGCAACTTTTTGCTCTAGCTTGAAAAGTGTCAAAGTTCTGGAGACAGTGTTTGGATTCCACTTGGTGCCCTTTGCCAAGTTAAAACACAAAGTGGAAGAAGCGGAGAAGAAATAAAGTAACCTCTGGATGCTTATGTTCGAAACAGCTTGTAAGAACCCCAGGAGTAGGAGGTGCACATGCTGGAGTAAAACAGTTCTGCAAGGCCTGGAAACCCACCACTTCAATAACGCCAAAAGATGATAAAATACTAGTATTGTCTGCAATTCCCTGGCCTCCCCTATCCCAACTCACAGTGTAGCTTTTTGCTGCCTTAATGAGCTGAGTAAAGCACCAGTGTGACTGTAGGAGTTTCAGTTTGACTCTGAACACTTCAGCAGAGATGTAGCATAAGTTGCCCAACATTTATAACTATTCACAGTCATTTACACAAACTAAGTCTCTAGGGCGTCCTCCATCAGCCAAGCAACCTAATAAACACCATGGAAGGACTGAACATTTATACATAAGCTGTGCATAGGACACAGGAAGACAGAGAAAGAGAAGCAGTTACCACTTTATAAACATTACGCGGGTCTCTGGTGATGCACACTGTGCGTCTAACTTAAGTACCTCCACACCCTCCTCTTGGGAGCACAATGAAGCGGGAACAGAAGGCGTTTTATAGGAACATATGTTCTTCTTCCCCTATTATATATCAATGCTTTTACGCCCACCCAGAAACATTACTGTTGAGTGAGACATTATACTGTATATAGAAGGCAAATGTTGTAACTCTTTTTTTCTCCCTGGGCTTGAACTTGGTGAGGTTAAAGGATTTAACCTCTATCTCCCTGGGTGACACAGTAGTTTCACACCAAATCTTATTTCATCTCTAAATCTCACATATCATGACCACAGCACTTGTTATTGAGCACCCCATATTAACTATTGCATATTTACATTTTTTAAACAGGTCACTTAACATTATAAAAGGGAAAAATAGCCATTATATGTTTTATAGTATTTAATAAATGTGAAGCAGGTCTTTTAAATTGCATTTGGAGGCTGAGTCTCAGAGGATCAATCTCATTGCTGTGTACCAGGCTGTGAATCACTGTGAAATTCTGAATGTGGTCCAAATATAATACATTTCATGTGACTTGAAACAAGTGTTCTCATATGATGTTAATTTAAAGCTGAAATGTCTGTCACATTTCCTAAACGATGAATATTGTGTCTCAGTTTTGGTAAAGTATTCTGACCATGCATGGTGGCAAGGAATTAAGTGCAGCAGAGCTTGTAACGCATCCAGTTTCAGCCCACATTAGTAAAGCATAATAATGTGTGAAGTGCAATGTGAAGGTTATTATTTTTATTATTGTTATTTGCCATGATTTCTTCTCCTATAATAGAGATTTTATTGTTTCGTGTGCAGGTTGCAGGTTGAAAGGTGAAATCAGGTAAAATAGATCTGTTTTTATAAACACGGATATTAATTTCTTTACTGCAAATACTGCTTTTTGGTGTCTGTGATTACACTTGCAGCAAACTACAGTGTTTGATATGGGCTCAGCCACAAGCTGGTTAAGCAAAACAAAGAATAACTGTAGCATGGCATCCGATCTGCTTACAGGCAAACCATTTTACTGAGCCGTTTTGAAGATAAGAGATCTGACGGCGGGTGGGAAGCCTGATCTGGTACGCATTGCCAACCTGAGAAGACCCTCCGGGGCGCACAATAATGTTAGCTCCCCATTAAAATGATGCATCAAAGAAAGCGATAATAGATCATGCAGACGTCCTAATGCATTTAATACGACTGTAAAGGCAGATGGATTGGTCCGCGGTGTCCGCTAAGCTTCCACATGTAATGTACAGTTAATATGTTGTAAGCGAAATTTCACATTTCCCCATCTGCTACTTTCACTCACAGCGACTATGAGTATAAAGTTATGTCGCAACAGAATGTTATAATAATAATATTATTAATAATACTTACAATAACCCTCCCTACTGACATTTATATGGAGTATAATTCGTCCTCCGAAACTGATAAAATGAAAGTAAAGCCCTCTGGAAAATTCAGTCTTGTAGGTTAAAAAATACTTTCTACTTCTGCAATTTGATTTAATAAACACTCGAGCGTTTTCATTCTAAAACAATTTAGATACTCAACTCCTTCCTCACGTTGCTTCCACTTCAGGAAAATCGATACGCACGATAGTTTTTTCCTTTTTCTTTCTTTTCTTTTTCTTTTTTTTGCTAATTTTACAGTGTACAAGCAAAAAGATCGGTCGCACCCCACGCTCAGTCCACACCGTGACCGTCCTCTAGATCGCGGGACGCGGCAGTGTCAGGACGCATCATGCAAAGAGGGGACGCACTTGCAAACGGTCAACACATCTTTATCTCTAGGCGCGGTGTATGCCACAGCTGCGCGCTCTAGGCTTTAGAGGCGGACGACAGATGCCCAACTTGTCTCGCAATGTCACTTTTTATTTGCAGGGTGTGTCATGAAGCTACTTCTTTAAGCAGGAGAGCCACAGAGGAAGCGGGAGAGGACAGGAGAGTGAGCATCAGAGGAGTCAGATAGTCTTACGCTGAGAAAGAAAACTCAGAAAAAGTTTCAAAGCACTAACCTGGCCATTCTTGCAGAGGTCTGCCCACATGCTTGTGCCGTCCCCTCCTCTCATCAGCACATGGTAGATGAAGAAGTATGTACCCGGTATGCTGCAGATGAACTTGCCCGAAATGCCATCATAGTTGTTGCCCAAATTGGTGACCACATCATCAAACTTGAGGATCTCGTAGCCTTCGTGGGGATTTTTAAGCCCTGCATAGAAGGCCACCCGAGGTACTGTGCTGTAGGTGGCTGTGCTAATAGCTCCGTTACCCCCCAGACCCAAAATCCCAGTCCTTCCTTGATCTCCTCTGTCACCAGGAGGTCCAGCTGGTCCTGGTGGCCCTGGTGGCCCTGGTTCTCCCGGTGGTCCAGGTGGTCCCGGCTTGCCTGGCCTGCCAGGCTTCCCCTGTGGGCCCTGCAGTAAGGTGGAGGGTGGAAGCACATTGCTGTGGTCACTCAACGCCTCTGCTTCAGCCTGAAGACCGGTGGAGCTCGTGCTGCTGGCTGGAGTGCCTTTGTTCATGTAGGGATCACACACCATACGGCAGGTGCCCAGCATCTCATAGTGGCTGGCATCTGTACCCACGGAGCTGACGAGCACGGGGATGAGCACCACCAGCACCAGGACCAGCATAACCCCTACGGCAGCCGCCACCAGGGTCTTCCTCCCGATGCTGAGTCGGGGAAGAGGCTGCGCTGCCAGCGTGGGTCTCCCGGGGGCGGAAATGGTGACTGCTTGGTGTGGGGAGCCTGTCACCGAGGAAAGGGATCCACAGATCCCAAGAAGAGTTGCAAGAGGAGCGGCGAGTGTGTGAGGGTGAGACAAAGACCCACATACACTTGATACACCTCACTGCTCCACTAACTCACTCTAAAGTAACCAAGCAGTCACTCACACACACAAAAAATACTTAAGGAAACCCAAGCATCCACACGAAGACATTCAGCACGTACTTACAAACACAATCTGACTTGTGAGAAGAAGCAAGAAGGATGCAGAGCCCAAAGGAATGGAGTGAGAGACAGAGGGAGCGAGACAGAGAGAGTGAGTGAGAGAGAGAGAGAGAGAGAGAGAGAGAGAGAGAGAGAGAGGATGATGAGAGTGGGTGAGTGTGAGAGAAACAGAGCAGTCACTGGATCTCTGTGACTGTGTGTCTGTGTGTGTGTGTGTGTGTGTGTGTGTGTATGTGTGTACGTATAGTGAATTAGTGGAGCCGGATTCTCAGGCTTGGCTTTTTATACGGCAGAGCAGCGGAGCCTCCCCCCTTCCCCTCTGCTCCCCTACCGAGTGAGGGGCTGGTGTGGCTACGTCCCCTTCTCTCTCTCTCTCTCTCTCTCTCTCTCTCTCTCTCTCTCTCTCTCTCTTTCTCTCTCTCTCTCTCTGGCTCACTCAGTAGAAGGACTCTCATCACACTGCATTTCTTTCAGCCACGCTCCGAAACCACAGAGGAACCACAACAACCCCCTGACCACCTTGCTCCCCCTCTTTCAACCTTCTCGTTCCTCCTCTCCTTGCTTTCCCTCCTTTCCCCACTTGGGATGTTGTTTCTCACTCCTTTGCTTTCTCCTCTCTCTCATCAGCATCCAGTCTCTAAAAATAAAGATGGAGCTGTGGAAAGCCAATCTTTTTTTTTTTTTTTCCTGGAGGTGGGTTCTAAAGATTCATGCATATATGTGCAGACACAAGACAACATTTAAGTCTTCCATGCCAGGAAATGCTAGCAGCTTCTCAGGAAAAAAAAAGGTGCTAATTATAAAAGTTAATGCCAAGAACAGACCAATGAGCCAACAGAATGACCATACAACCACACATGTAAAGGTTTGAGTGTGGGTTTTTTTTTTTAATGATCTCAGTGGAACATCACATGTCTACCCCACTCTTCGGGGCAGCCGGCATTGACGCTCCTCTGCTGATATTTTTTTTCTACTCCCCTTCCCCCTGTGTCAATAAGACTGTTTCTCCACCTGAATGTGCTGACACCATTTCTTATTTGTGTCTTTTTTTAGGTATCGATTTCATGGTTTTTATCAAATTAAGGGTCCTTGTTGGGAGGAAAAAAAATCCATATGCAGCAGTGATGTCATTTGTTTGACATTTTCATCCCTTGGTGTGATGAATGGTAAAGTAAGAAAGCAAATGACAAAGTTGGTAGATGGCAAACATAGTCATCATGAAATGTGTGTTTGGGTTGCAGCAATTTTGTTTTGCTTGTTTTTGGTCAACTTTAAATCAGAACACAAAAAGAACTAATATGTGATGGATGGAGAAAATCTGGCAAGTCTGTTCATGCAAATGGAAAGCTATGAAAAATAGGATTCATAGGATTTTACAGAAGCAAGCGTAAAAACAGCAGGGGTGGGCTTATCCCTTTATATCTAAATGTATCTTTTATGTATTTAAGCCAATGCAGCTAATAGAGTAACAAAATGCATTTAAAGTTCAGATCCAGATCAAGTTGACTGAATTGAAAACATGTTACTATTATAGGTCTCACTGATAAAATGGCACAGTATGCTTTAAAGTTGCAGTAATCCAGCGTTTCCATTTTTAGATTATTTTTGCCGTGGCATATGCACACATATTTGGTTAAGGTCAAGTTTTTTTTAGCACACCAGGTGTTTTTATAGATAGATTCCACTAATCTGTTTAAACTTGTGTTAATTAGTGAAATCAGCCCATGTGGTCATTGGTTGGAAAATATTTCCAGACTCTTGGCTTTCTCAGCGTTGCCTATTTCTGGCTTTGATAGGACAGTTTGTTCCTGAGCTGGACTGCGCTCTTGTGACGGATTGAGATGGATCAATGAGCAGGATGCCTGACTATTTGTCACCACTACACTTGACATATCACCAGTTATTTTGCTGTATTTCTGACTCTTCATCATCATTAAACTTCAGGCACAAACTTATGGCATCACCAGTTGGTTGTCTAATTTATCACAGAGCAGAAAGCGTGAGACATATCCAAATAACTGGCACACCAGGTGCACCTGCAATGCATATTTGGCTGTTTTGTTCTATTCCTCATAACAGACATGGAGTTTGCCTATATGACGAAGTACACAGGGCCTAAATTGGTTTTGGGGTTTGCTTAAGGGGTCATTGTTTGTTCTTCACACCTGCCGGCTGTAAGTGACAGTCAGATCACTGTGCCCCAAATCTCTAAAGCTCTGCACCACAGAGATCAATGCACACTAGAGAGGACAAACAGAATGCTATAGTGATGAAAGAGAGATGAGAAAGACAGAGAGCCAACCAGTAGTGATGGGAGCAAGAGGTACAACATAGGCGGGCACTACCTGCTGTAACAGCTGAAATATCTGTCAGTGGAGCTGGTTTGTTTTGCATGATTGCATATAAAGAGATCATCTGTAGGTGTAATTAGAGGTGAAATTCAATTGAATGTTGCTGACATCATGCTTTGAGACCTGAATAGCAGTACGACAGAGAGATAAGTCAACTGAATTTCTTCTTTTTTTTATTTTATTTTATAGTTATTAGTTGTTTAACCCTGTGATTTCTAAGTCATTATTGGTCGTGACCATAATCCTATGGTGTCAGAATATATCATTTTTGTTTTTTTGCTAATATAAAAAACTGAAACGCATCTAAAATGTCAAATTGTTTTTGCCAAAATTGACTTTTCACATCACTTTGAGGTTAGAGTTTAGAGGTAGGGTTTGTGTCATCACCACTGACGAGGTTAGTTGTTGTTTACACTTGGATGTTAATCAGTGCTTCACTACCTGGCTAACTTGGAATCCTTGGTTGGGGTCTTTGTGGGGACTACTGGGTGACATTAATGTTCACATGGGCAAAGACAATGAAACCTGGAGGGACTGCCTTCCTGATCTGAACCTGAGTGGTATTTTGTTATGTTTGAGTATAAAGATATTTATAAATGCGCTTGGCAACATGGCCCCCTAGGCTGCAGGGCGATTAAATTTGTATTTGTCCAATAAGGTCTGTGGCTGTATGTCCTGGAAAGTTTGTTGAAGAAAGGAGCTGAGCCGTCAGATGACTTTGATGCCGAGGAAAATGCCAGGCAGGCTTGGTGCACCCAAGTGTGTAATGATGGTGTACTGGGTGAATCTGCAAGGCCTGGAACTGAAGATCTTCAACTCCCACATCTGGCAGGATATCAACAGCAGCAACTCCTGAATCCCAAAAGTGGAAAGAGAGTGGAGCAGGAGGTTAAGAGCTAGATTAGGTTATTTACCAATTAACCAATAAACATCAGAATCAGAATCATCTTTATTTGGCCAAGTGTGTGCACACAAATAAGGAATTTGACTCCAGTCTGCATGCAAAAAAAGAAATATTTTTTTCTATCTTTTTCTAGATATTAAAAATTCAGGGAAAGTGAACCAAAATAGTAATGTTAATGTTGCCTTTGAGTTTTTCAATAACTAGATTTGTTAATCTACATTCTCACTTGCTCACAAGATAATCCAAGTATTTTTTTTTGACCTGGTTTATTGGAGAGAGTGGTTAGCACTGTCACTGAACAGCAATATAGTGCTGGGTTTGAATCCACCAGCCAGCTGGGGCTTGTCTTCGTGGAGTTTACTTGTTCTCTTGGGTATTTCTGGTTCTTCGCTCAGTCCAAAGACATGCTTGTTAGGTTAGGACTGGATATTCTACACTGGTAGTAGAAGTGTGAAAATGAGTGGTTGTCTAATGGTCTGGGTTAGCCCTACAGTAGCCTGGCAACCTGTCCATGGTACAAACTCCACCCTTTGCCCCATGACAGCAAGGATAGGCTCCAGTCTTCTTGTGCAACCCTGAATTAGATGAGTTGAAGAAAAATGGATGGTTGCGTTATTGGAGTAAATGTCAGAGCGCAAAATATATCAAAGAATGGTGGAGACATGTTTAAGTATAACAAATATACATGTAATAGAAACAAATGCAATAAATAAAAATGCAGAAAAATATGAATGCATTTTTGTGTAACCCTGCTATGTTACTCTGAAAGACAAAGGGGTTATCCTTTAAATGTACAGCATGCTTTTGGGGGTTTTTTGGGATGGGGTTGCACCGTTAAGTGTTGTTAAAAGGAAGCACAAACAGGTTTTGTACTGTACTACTTATCGAACTGTGATGAGAGCAAAAGCTTTTGAAATTTGAAACGTGAGCAGATGCGAGGACATGGCAAGAACAGGAAACCAGAACCTCAGTAGCACTGCGTCCAGACATCAGCCACATCCAAACACACCTCAAAAGCTTTTAATCACTTTGTTGTTCTCCCTGGTTACAAAGAGATGGGGAGGAAGAACAAATGTGTTTCCAAGAGTTTCAGAAGTGCACAAGGGAAAACCACAAAACATGGAAGAATAAAAAAAAAAAAAAGACTTTCATGGATTTTTTTAAGAGTGAAGTTTAACAGGTCAAAGAAACAAAACAACATCACAAACACACAAGCAAACACAGTAGATGTCTCATCTCTAGTTGAGTTTGTGTCTCTGATTGCTTCCCTTGTGTTGCTCCTGGCCGAGGCTTATCAAAGAGCTCCTTTCATAAGTGCCAGGATCAAGCCACTGCTGTGACTGCTTGGCACCCACTGAGGTGGTTTGGAGATGGGGAGGGGGTGTGAGCTTCAAAACATAGGCAAGGCAGAGGAAGTCAAAATTGAAGGCAGTAAGTGAGGGGGAAATGGTGCATTTGTGCATTTGAAGGAAAATGGGAAAGGAAAAAGGCTGATTTTAGGGTGGGGACATAGCTTCTGCAAAATGCCTGGAATAAGTGTGTGTGTGTTTGTGTGTGCGTACAGTTTTGTTTATGACAGAGAGAGAGAGACGGGAGAAAGAGGGCAATCTTTCAGTCAGGGAGGAGTTATTTTATATATGTGCTGACAAAATTAATATGTATTTGCTTTAAGCTTTCTCTGCTTCTGTGATTTCTTGCTGACGCACACTAGAATGCACAGAATATCCAGGTGAATGCAGAAACAGTGAAGGACATGACTCCAGAGGAAAAGAGCAACACACACACAAATACCCTCGGGCCATGTGCTCCTCCTCACTACAGCAGCTACAGTCCTCACAAGCCCGATATCTGCCCTGTTTACTAAACCATGTGACAGCATCGCATTTTTACAAGACA